AGCACTGTGACGGTCTTTCAGCAGTCCACGCCATCAAACTGATTGATGCACCTCCTTGGCACATTCAGTAGAGCGACATTTGACAATGTGATTGGGCAGGAATGTTGCAGGAACGACGTTTGAAAAGGGGATGAATACATGGGTGTCTGTGGATGCTACGCTGGGACCAGATTCCAGAGATGCCACTATATGTAGAAAATACGTAAGTGAGGAACGTACAAGCGGCATTCTACTTGACCTAGATGGGGGCCCTTTACAGGGTGGGCTAACGTGGAACACAGGGTTACGGGACTGCTCCGTCACTCCGGCCCAAGTTGGGCATTGCACTGTTTTGCTGACAACGTGGCGATAAGTAATACTGCATCTGCAGCATACATATGCATATGTGGGTAGCAGGAACAACTCAAAATTTGAATAAGAGCCAGTGTACCCATCTTTCTGAAGAAATCTTCCTTCTTGCTGGTCTGCAGACACGCAGCAGTAGTGCAAAAAAAAATTGGATTTCCTCAGAAATGCATGGGGAACAACTTTCTCTGCTTCACAGCAAAACGAAATTAAGAGAAGAGAGAGGGCAAGGTGAGGGTAGTGTCAAGCTCTGGCTCCAATTGTGGGAAGCAAGATAAAGGAATAGCCACAGTCTGCAACTTCGGAAGTCTGTGGCATCTCCTCCTGAAAGGCAGGTGCGCACAAGCCTGCAACAATGAGCACACACTGCACACCGACGTCACGAGTTGGAGGGCAGGAGTTAAGAAAAAATACAGTGCCAATAGACATCAGCATATACTCAATATACACCCAAGACCAGGGTAAGCGGTAGTGACGCAGTGAATTCTCTTAATTCGTGTATGCTCTACATGATGGTGTTAAACAACCACCTAATCACGCACAAACCTCTTGTAAGTAAGCACTATAGGTATGCATAACTTGCATTGACGTCACTATGGTCGCCATCTTCAGGTACCAGCTTGTTGAGATGTTTTGTGAACTCTTGCTCGACTGCACGGTGCAAGAAATGGTGACATCTGATTAATACCTGGAACCTTCCAATTCTTTGCGTTTCCCCTTGGCGAGGCTAGCGAACAGAAGGAAGCGGGGAAAGCCTAAAAGAACACGAGGAATGAACGACTTTCTGTCATCCCTTGCACTGGCACTCTCAAATGCGATAAAAGGTCATGGTGCCAGCCATCTTTAGATTCCCAGCGCCGAAAACCTGTCTGTGACATCACATGCAAGTTATTTATAAGAAGCATGGGCAATAGACGAGAGACTTGAGATCCGGCTGGCCCTTCTGGACCAAGCCCTACAAACCAGTGGAGCCTCATACCAGTGTTCCCCATTCATGGATTCTTTATTCATTACACATTTTATGCTCCTTAATCTTTACCTTGAATGTTATGCCCACTGTTTTTTGCTTAGCAAGTTCATTTATGTTCATTCACCACTGCTACTCACTCTGCAGCAACTCCACTGGAGTGAAATAATTAAATTGTTTTATTCAATGAAGCTTTTATGTCTCCATGTATCAGACCCGTTGGCAGAAATGTTTTTCGGGCAGGGAAGGGTGGGGGGCAGGCACTCTGAAGACGTTGATGTTTTAGAAAAACACTTATTCTCATGACTTATTTTCCGGAAAACACCCCCTCCATCACAATTTCAGGGCAGGCGGGGAGATCCATCATGACCTCTGGAAAGACCCCTGCTGCCGTGGTGATGCATCACAAACGAAATCGAGTGCAGATCAGGCCACCCCTATCTTGTCAGCTCTGCAGGCCGCATGATAGCACATGTTCTGGGAATTCAGCCAAGCTACATGGAGATTTTGGTGCACAGGATAATATTAATTGAGAAAGTACCCCATTCACACAGCAACTAAAGTCCCAGCATCCATGCCTAAGGCTTGGCAGACCGGACTTCACAAGCGAACAATCTATCTCAACTTCCAGAGGTACTAATGAGCATCTCTGCCATGTCATAAAATCCTATTTACTAAATAGGATCTTGAAAGCCTCATGTTACTGTGCAATCGTACACATCACCACAAATTGGTCATTGTTAGCTATACCTGAAAGTTTATATTTCCTGGCAATTTATATTTTTTTGCCATTCCACGAAATATACTATACTAGAGGGTTCGTGCTGTACATATAGCGCACAAAATGCACAACACAGTATGTAACAGATCAGCTTTATGCAGTGTAAATGAATCTTAGTACAGTGTAAATGCTCGAAAAATACATTCGGGTAAAAATTAAGGTTAAAAGCAGCTACAACAAATCATGGTGTAGAAAGAGTAAAAAGATGTAAAAGCGCAATTCGCAAACAAAAAGCTTGGCACTGGCCGGACAAGATTAAGCGCTCATAAAAAAAAAAAGAGAAAAAGCTAAACGGAAATGTACTGAATGTATTGCGGCTAAATGTGATGAGTCCGACACCGTCGGATGATTGCCTGGATCTGCAGAGACGAACCCTACGTTTGAGCCAGAACAGTCCCACGATGACGACTGGCAAGGCACACATGAGACAAATGAAGATGATGATGTAAATGAAAACGGTCCACGTCTTCGAGCCCATGGCTTGGAGCTCCCAGACGCACGAGTGACCTGGAAGAGATGACCACTGGTTCATAATAAACAAACAATATGAAACACGAATTAACTTAGTTACATGACAAAGGTTTAGTGAAGGTAATGTTGTCATTATGTCAGCTGATAGCTGACATGTTGCTAGAGTAAAAATAAACATGATGACTAGCTGAAAAAGGCTTCTGCTCGAGAGAGCGAAGTCAAATTCAGAAAGAGAAATGTTTTCACCTTAGTGCAACAAAATTATTGAGTGTTCTTCCAGTGAAAAGCTGCGCTAGACAGCTTGAATGCCCAAAGGCCCTCTCTTGCAAGCAGTAAAACAGCAATCAGTGTACATACATATATTCAACATTTATCCATATAACACACCATTTCAGTGCAACTAAAAAAATGCAACAATTCAAGTTGATTTCGGACGAAAACACTCACTACTGTAGGTACTGTTGTACAAATACTCAGTGAAAATGGCCTGAGAACAGTGTCGAAATTCCATAAGAAGGCTTCCACTTGCCTAACTTCTCTAATCAAAATGTCTGCCCCTGCTGTTGCTTTAGTAGCAATACTGAAAACAAGGTATGCAGAATGAATTCTTAGAACGTGTAAAAAGCTAAAGCTAGAACCGATGATGCAGCCGACCCTTATGTTAACACCTGGACTAGCTCTTGATCCTAGGTTTAAGCAATGTACTATGCCTTAGGTCAAACAAGAAAGGTGGAGAAGTGCACTAGCGAGTCTCGCATGTCTCTAGCGCAAGAAAAAACAACTCTCAACTCTTCCCACCGCTGGTCTTTAGGACTTCGTATCATCTTTGTTGAATGACATCTGGAAAGTTTTCCTTATCTTTAGTTAGCTTTTAAAAGTGTCTTGCCGGCAAGGTTTACCAATTCGTTTTCAACTTCCTTGTTTATCTATCAAATATCCTTGTTATCTATCAAATATAATTATAAAGTATTGTTTGACAGAAAGAAACCGCTTGCCAACAAGGTACACCTCACCAGGACGGTTATAAGCAGCAAGAGATTTGCTTACTGACATGATTTGGCCACAAATAATACACATACAAAGTAAAGAAACACTCAACGACAAGCACAAGCGTTGAGTGTTTCTTTACTTTGTGTGTATTATTTGTGGCCAAATCATGTCAGTAAGCAAGTACCAACTAGGCCAACAATCAGTATTGTTACAAGAGACTTGCTGCTGCCAAAACAGCGGGACACCTGTTTGAGAAAACTTATGGTCTAACTAGGTCGTCTTGCTGCTAGAATGACATGGTCCTACCCAGATCTGATAGGGTTGGACGCAGCTATGCAAGTAAGTTTAACTGTCTGACTGCTGTTCTCTCCAAGAACATTTGTGCTCAGTAAATATCACCTTGCTCACTTCCAGTTCATAATCTATGTCACAAATTGTACCAATGCCTCAAATCATATGCTTTGCTTCAGACTTATTGCGAAGCATGGTGGTAGTACTTAATTTCTGTACCACTGTAGAAGTGTGACAGAGGGCCTGAGGATTGCTTAGACACTGCTTTCCAGATCCTACGCATACCTTTTCAATACATCTACTACATGTCCGACACCAAATTGATGTTTTTGTTGAAAATGAAGAGCACGTGATTTGATAGCAAAAGATATCACACAAGGACAACACTAAATACAATACGAACATAGCCTCAACTTCTTTATGTACTCACTTTCGCACATGATTTGGTAGAACAGCATTTGTTATTAGTGGCAATATATTCAAACTGTGTGGTGAGACGATACTTAAAGAAGCTTAGACAAACAAGCGCAGCCTCTCTTCGTGTATCGTATCACCGTGCAGTTCAAGTACTATACCAATAAACATTTACAAATTTGCCCAACTTTCTGCACTGATTAGTGACAATAATAAAACACAAATCTGTTTTGTAAGATTCTTTTTAAACAATCACAAAATTTCAAAGCAGCTTCCACACGTGGTATTTTGTTGAGTTTCAGGTTAGAATAGACCAATAATTGTTTATGAATAACTAATTGACACTTCAGCTTCAATGTTTACCCTTTTCTGTGGTATGTGCAGAGACAATCTCTGCAGTGAACCATATTCCTAAAAAAATGATAGACTGTGGGAAATCAGCAGAATCCCACCAAGCGGAGGAAAGAATTACGGTATTCTTTTTCTTTTTAATACAAAATTGCTTTGCCGTATTTGGCAAGCTCCCACATTGACAAAAGCCAGTTGTGTAAAAACGCAAACAGCAAAAGAAATTACCAGCATGTTCCTTCTCTGCATACTCAACTATTACGTCATTTGCATTGCAATGAAGGGCAGCGAATCCGACACGCTTGTTGCCCAAATCGAAACGGTGGTGAGCCCTCGGATGATGGCAAAACCGATCATAATGCCTGAAAAGAAAGACACACCGGTAATTATTGCTCATGGTGGAGCACCGGCACCATTAGAGGTGCAGCTGAGACATAGCAGCCGAAGCACTGGGACCACCAAAGTACTTACTGATGGTGAATCGGCCACTGCAAGCTTGTAGCAACCGTGGTCACCACGCTTTAATGTGACCTCTTGAAAGTAGACCTGCATGATGATAGCGATGAAGAGAACACTTTGTGGGCATGACATCTGCCAGTTCGTGGAATTGCAACGACATGGACCTCAGTCAGTGTGGGTGTAAAGAGATGCCACTTTGGGAATACCATAGTTTTTTGGGATGAAGTAGTGTGACGGTCCTAATTCCAATAGTGAACATCCTCACGGACTTTGTAACTCAGATTATACGACTTAGAGAGGACCAGGCAATGCTGTCATATATATGAAAAAATAAGAGCACGGGTAGTTAATGTCTGACCAGCTGTCTGCAGGCAAGCGGCCTGTTCATTTAACACAACGAAAACGAGCATTTTTCGAGCAATGCATAAGCTGTGTATATTTGATGCTCTGGTGGTTCTGCACAACTAAGCATGGCGCACTAGGCTTGTCATCTGATACTCACTTCACTCTTTCTTCTTTACCGATCGCCAATCTAAGGGTGCACAAGTTTCTTTTGCATGCACAAATATTTATTTATTCATTTATTTAGTCAATACTGCCAACTTCTAAGCGAAGTCGTAGGCAGGAGTGGGTACATATATATGCATTTGATATTACATTTTCCAATGCAAGAAAAGTCAGAAAACAACAGGAAAAACTTATAACAACAATGTGTCGAGGAAAAAAAAAGTCTAGAAGAGTTGTAATTTAGAAACATTGGCAACGTAAATCTATGTAACACTTCCCCCCCCTTTTTTTAATATTTGGTAGACGTTGGAGTCTAGTAAAAAAAAAAGAAGTTTTTTTGTGTTGTGAAATGCTAGGTCTGCGCAAAATATTAACATATAATTAGGATTTATAATAAATTACCATAGCTACTCACTCACATAATGAATGCACTTTTTCCTCAAAAATCAAAGCAAACTTGGGCATGCGTTATTATGAGGGGCAAATTTTATGAAAACTTTTTCGGTATGCGCAAAAAATGCGTAGTGTAAAAAAAGGTGTATTGTATCTTTTCTAGGCGACAAGCTGATATGTGAGACACTGTAGTGGAGGGCTCCGGAAATTTTGACCACCTGGGGTTCTTTAACGTGCACCCGAACCTGAGCACACAGGCCTACTGCATTTCTGCCTCCATCGCCAATGCAGCCGCCACAGCCGGGATTCGATCCCGCGACCTGCTGGTCAGCGTAGTAATTATTACATAAGTGAAAATGAATTGAAGTGTAAAGCAAACAACTTGCTGATGGCAAAAAACAAACCTAAAACTTACGAGTTTCACATCCAATGCTTTATCAATCAAACTACAGAGCTGACTGCTCACCCATCCACTTTGTTCTATTTGTACACACATTATCCCAGGTGTGCTAGCGAGACCACCACGGCAGGGCCAGGCGACAAGCGATACTTAGTTTTTTTTTTTTTTCTGGTTTTCCATAAACCTGTGACACAAAGACGACGAATGGCCCTTTGCAACTGCCATGGCAACAGCAAATATTAGAGAGTTTTCGAATAGGGGCCCCAAAGCCCTTTGCTTATGGACGTTTTGGGTCACGCTGAAGCGATAAGTTTTCGAATAGGGTCTGCAATGATTTGGACACTCCCCTATTCTATGTCACTTTTGTCTTGGCCGAGAGCCGCACTTAAGTGGGTGCCGTCACATTTGTCTGACCCAAAACTTTTGGGGCAGGCTTCGGGGTTCCGCTGAATTCGAGAAATACCGTCCCCAACCCGAAACCCAAACGCAGTTTGAGTCTTGCATATGCGCAGTGGCCTTGACGCTATTCTTTGGGGCCCCAAAAGTTTGAAAACTCTCTATTGTCCTGGTCGCTTTAAATTTGCAGGCACGTGGCTGGTCCTTAATGTTTCATATTTGCAGGAAGCAACTGTTGGTTCACGCAAGCAGTTTCGTGACCTTCGCTTGCTGTATGCTTATCATCTGTGATGTCTCTAAACTCGCACCGTTCATGAACCCCCTGTGGCACATAGACAATTAAAGAAGACTGGGGACGTGCTACTTTCAGATGGGAAAAAAAAGAATACGGCGTGCAGCAGCGGGCAAAGGGGGGGGGGGGGGAACGGGACGAGGGAACGAGTTGTGTTGGCCGAGGAGGGTTGACATAATTAATAAATAGAAAACGGAAGAGATCGAACGGGCAAGAAGGCGCCATGTGTCGGTTAGCGGGACTGCAGCGGATGAATTCAGGGGGTGCATTATTATGCGAGAGATGAAAGAATTCCAAATTTTGACGACTGGAGTTGGGGGTGCGTTTATTATGCGAGTGCGTTTATTATGCCAGTAAATACGGAATTTATAAGGGGATTCTGTCGGGAAACAACCAACTCGTCGCAAAATCTGGGCTGCTGCAAAACTAGGCGATGTACAGCTATGTCCAGGAGAAAGCGCTAACAAACAGCATGAGCGTTTATTTCATGTGAACAAGTATATATGCCTTAGAAAAGAGAAAAAAGGCAAATGAAGGAGAGGGAAGCACTGCACATGCATTTCAACTAGTCGATGAAACTGCAAAGTTCGATCACGAAGATAATTAATGCCTTTGTCATGTCAGTGGCGCTTACACATGATGGCCCAATGGAATGCATCTTCAACGCTTCATAGATCTCCCGAGCACTGTAATCGCGATATCTTTGTAAGATGCGGGTCTGTTTAAAATTTGGAGTGCAACCACAATCTGCACAGTAAATTGTCAGATTGCTTCTTGTTTTGTCCTTCAGATTGTTCTTGTTCTCTAACTAAAAGCCGGTCGTTCGTGCAGCAACTCGTTTGACCAATGTAGTGGCCACTGAAAGACGTCGGTATCTCATATATAGCTTCCGCCTTGCATAGAACATGTCTCAGAGCACGTTGCTTCGAGATAGTTTCTAAGGCGTATATATTTGTTCACACGAGATAAGCGATCATGTTGCTAGCCAGCCCTCTGCTCTGTTGTCTTTCTTCTCTCGTATACCCGTGCTGTTCTTTACGATGAATTCATGCCAACAGGTTCAAGTTTCTACCCTTTTAAGATGTCTGGGCCCACTGTAGTAAGCTTCACCAGAACACCATTACTCATTTTCAATATAAGCCTTCTTCACCACATCATGAACAATATTGCGTTAAAGCTTATTAAGTCAACTGTATCATCATGGAGAAAATCAACTGTGTCTTGAAGAAAATCAGTCGTTGAAACATTGCTCGTTTTCTATAACGAGACACTTCAATGTGTAACTCCAAACGCAGTCATTGTACTGCCAGCAGCCTTTGTCAAAGCCAGCAGCACTGCCACCGTCATCATGAAAAGATCAGTGGCATCAGTGGCACGGTACCTTTTAACCAGCAAAAATAAAAAAGGGGGATTTTGCAGTGAAGAACATTAGAACTGCATTAGAACATACATTACAACTGAGTTACAACAGTGATGAAAATTCGAAAACCAACTTACAGATGGCGGGATCTTCAGTGTGAAAATATTGCCTTGCGCATCCGGCATGAGCACTTCCAGGATGGGGAAATCGTTGACCACGAACCCATCTTCAAAGCAGTAAACAGTGGTGATGTCCGAGGAAAGGTTGTACTTGCCCTGCAAGCACATGAATACATCACTATAAGAACTGAGCTAGATTAATTTACCCATTGTTATTATTTAAAATACTTAAAAGCCCGAACGGCACAGCACTTCGCGCGGGCAGCATAAAAAATAACTGCCACTAGGTGTAGGTATCTATGGCAGTTAATGGTAGAAAACATTGTTAATAATTGCATAATAAAACAAAAGAGGGCATCCAAATACCTCATTGCTTTGTAAGTGAGAACTAATGGACAGTGATGCCAAGGAAAGTATACAAGATGTCATTGAAAGTAATTGTAATGCACCTAAATGTGAAGAAAAGTGGACGAAAAGATAGCTTGTGGTGAACAGGGACCGAACCTGCTGCCTTCGAATAACGCGTCCGATGCTCTACCAACTGAGCTACCACGATGGCTATCCCTCCATCCACTCGATGGGGTATATGTGCATTAGAGCACGAGAGTGTCAGTCAGCGTTGCCACTTGACGGCGAGTGTGGAAAGCATTTTTTTCTGCCAGTTGGCTTTACGTAGCGTGTGATCTCATTACAAGCTGGCCGCTGAGCATTAGTCTCTCGCATACTACCTGAAGGTATCAGTGTTCGTTGCATCGGTAAGCTGATCAGGTGGCGGTGTTTTTTTTGCCTGCACTCACTACAGCTTTCATCACCAGGCGCACAACCGGCCAAGGAACCACCATCAACTTATAGGCTTACCGCTGCGACAGAGCCGGTGAGAGGCAGCTGCAGGTCATTTTGTTTGTTTAAACCACGACTGAGAGTAGCACGATTATGGCGTGCGAATGCACTAGTCACATTTTTTTTTATTCGCTGGCTTTCTATGCAACTTAAAAAAAATGGTACACGCAAGACTTTTTTTATCACAAATAATGCAGTGAAGGTTTCCGAAGAACCTCTTGAAGTTTGCAAATCCCACTTCTTGCTTTAATATCAATATCAGCAATTAGTTAAATAATCCTTATTAACAAATTGATTAACTACAAAACAAAATTATGAACCATCTCCCCGAAGGGAACCGTGATAGGATGTGAAGCTGCAGCAGCGCTGCGCACGCCGTTGACCCGCATGAAACGGGCGTCGATGCGGGTGCTGGAAGAACGGTTTAAAGCGAAACTCTGTGTAGCCTTTACTCGAGTTAACATTTCTTTGAAATGCAATGACACGGGGCGGGTTGGGTTTCGTGCAAGTTTCATCGCACATAAACGAGCCGAAAGAGTAGACAGAGTTAGTTGTGCGTCCGCATCTACCATACGGACACAGCCTCCCATTGTGAATGATTGGCAGGCTGTGTCCGTACGGCTGCCGCGTACGTGCAACTAAAGCTGTGGAGTGTTTCCACTCTGAGCGTTGTGGCCGATGGAGAGAGTGAAGCGAGAGAGAAGTGTGTTGAGAGCGGGTGAAGGAGCAACACAGCCAGGTATTTTTGGAGGAGCCGGCAGCTGCTGCAGGTGAGAGAGAGAGTGACGTCAACGTGCAGCTGCGACTTGACCTACTTGGCATCATTCCGACAACTGCGGCAGGGGGAATGCGGTGTGACGCGTTGGCACGGAGACACGGATGGACAGCGTTACACAGGCTAGTCAAAGAGCTGCTTCGTATTTAAAATTGTGTGTAGTGTGCTAAGTGGCTGTCAGCAACATGCAACTGAGTTCACTCACCTGCCTCTAATATAATTTTTTTACTTTTCACACAAGTTAGCTGGGACACCCAGTGTAAGGCAGATATGGTAATTTTTTCGGAGTATATACATTGATCCTGACAAGTAAAGAAGACTAAAAATAAAAATGAGTTTTCTCATTTTAATAAATTAGGCTTTCATAATTCCAAAATCACCATGCTTGCCACAAGAATACGCTTTCCAAGTGAGAAAATGTCTAAAAGAAAACGCAGGTGGTGACACCACCTTGAAATTCGTAGGGTGCCTTGATGCGAGTGCCCTCACAGGACGATGACAACTGCATCGTTTACTAGTGCAGCCACCAATTTCTTGCATCGGCTGGGTGCACGTTGGCTGCGGGACGTGCCTCAACAGCAGTGGCTCCTAATTCCAATGGAGACATGCGTTCTACTTTAGCTTGGATATACTCATTTTTTGCTAGAGTAGCATCGTTTACTAGTGCAGCCACCAATTTCTTGCATCGGCTGGGTGCACGTTGGCTGCGGGACGTACCTCAACAGCAGTGGCCCCTAATTCCAATGGAGACATGCGTTCTACTTTAGCTTGGATATACTCATTTCTTTGCTAGAGTAGATGATGAGCAAGAGGAAATTCACGATTCATATTAATCTTTCAGTTACAATAGTTGACATTGGGGCAAGCAACTGCTCGTCGTCATAGTCGCACCATCACCGTTAGCGTTCTGTCGTCATGCTTATGCATGGACATAGCGGGAATTGAGTGAAGTATAAGAAGGAAGTAAATAACTGATGTGTATTTAAGCATGAATGCCTGGCATCTTTACGGTCAATCAAATTATTATGCAGTGGATATGCGACTACATCAGTCATACATCAGGTAATCAGAACAAAGGCTAACGCACAAAAGATTACAACAATTTCATATACACCTTCCCAGGGAATTCTGTCAGCGAGCGTAGTGGAGACTTGACCATGTGTGCGTTGTTTGTACACCGCTCAATAATGCTCTTGGGAGTGTGCGTGGTAATTCTTTAGAGAGGGAATCACTTCACTGATCAGATGATAAATCAAGTTTCGCCCATCACTCACGTATCTTTGAGAACTGCCAAATAAGCATATTCATTGCCGCCAGTGTCATGAAGAGCATTTTTGTACTTAAAAAACAACACTGGGTTGCAAACGCTTTTTAGTATGAAGCATTCAAGATAGTGTAAAATGATGCAGCATTCTGTTCATGTCAGCACCTCAACGAGTCTCGGAATAGTCAGTTTCTTCATAAGAATTTTCTGGTAGATCAACAAGATCAAACAAACTGAGATTTGCACAAATACAGGCAGCCTTCCACACTCAAGCGTAACATAGAGGTGCAATTAGTCTCAATTATTCCACCTTAATGCACTGCTTCATTACAGAAATAAGCTGGAATAAGTCTTAAATAGCACACCAACTTTCGTGCACATTCAAACGTATAAGAGACTTAATATGAAACAAGGCCGCAAAATGCGAGCATAACAAACCACTTGTGGTTTCGCACTCTCAGATTTACCCTTTACACTTCTATGAGCGTGCATATGTTACTATTGAAGGCCTTTGTAGCAATAAGCATCATCATCCTGCTTCGTGGTTGAGAAAGACTGGTCATACCTTCAAAGCATGTTCTTCATTACATTATATCAAATAAGGATTTGTGAATATTGGAGCTTCGAATTCGTATAGAAATATACTTATATGAATAATCTGATTCGATTTAGAATTACCAGTATTCGAAGTTTCAGATAATTTGGCTCGCGCTGTGCATTCGACTCTTCCACACTGTACCACTCATTCAGAATCTCGCATCGTTCCAGTGCACAATGAAAGCGCTGCTGTAAACGGGCGCCCGAAGATTTTTGGGCCCAGAGCACTTATGATGATCAGGCACAGCATCACCGAAGCAAAGTGTGGGTACGAGCTACTAGGTATTTCACTTCAAGAGTGATTACAGCACAATGGAAGAAACGGGACAAAGAAACCAAGCAATACGAGCGCTGCCAGATGAACCGCATTTATTATTGTAGTCTTACGTCTTGGGCCTTTTTTATGTATTTTTTTTTCAAAATTGTCCCGCTTTATTTTTTACAGTCCAGAGGAGCTGCGTTCTTAGTCCTTTAAAAAACAAAACATTTTCAAGCCAGTTTAGCTTTGATAGTGCATTACGGAATGCAGCACCCTCGCATTTTTCACTGAGACAGCGTTACGAAATCTGTTTTCCGTGTCTACCAGGAAAGTCGGTGCGATCAAAAAGCAAGAAAATGGCGTCGGCTCTCTCAGGAAACCAGTTTTGGTGGCCACGACCCCTTTAAAGAGGAACTCCACCCTAAGCGGGGGTGCGCGCATCGAGGCACGCTAGGAATTCCCACAACAAAAATGCCATGATGTCATGAATTTCGACAAAGTCTACTAGATCCTACGTACTTCCTTATCGGTGGAAATGAAGTACATTGTCCTCCAAGGTGGCCACAGGCTTAACATATAATGTCTCTGCACATTCCCTTGAACCAATGTCATTAACACGCGAAAAATACATCTTGAAACCGTGATATCACACGAGGAGATTTCGGTGTGAAACTTCACAATGAAACTTTGTCCTCGATTTTCTCAATAATAATAATAATATTATCTGGTGTTTAACATCCGCAAACTACCATATGATTATAAGAGACGCCGTAGTGAAGGGCTCTGAAAATTTTAACCACCTGAGGTTCTTTAACGTGCACCCAAGTCTGAGCACACGAGCCTACAACATATTTGCCTTTATCGAAAATGCAGCCGCAGCAGTTGGGATTTTATACCGTTACTTGCGGGTTGGCAGTCGAGTGCCTTAGCCACTAGACTACCACGACAGGGTGACCTCGATTTTCTCGTCTATTTATTTATTAACACTGTAGACTCATAGTTCATGCACGGGGTTATTACAAATATGAAAGAAGCAGCAATGACAAAACAGCAATAAAGATGAATAATGTTGTTTCGCAGCCTGATCACATGTATCGGTAACACAATTCCATTCACTAGTGGTTCTTGGAAAACATGGATACTTAAATAGGTCAGTGCGAGCTGAATGTGGAGTTAAGGTGATGGCATGGTGGTGCCAGAAGGGCCTGCAGGCTAGAGGTGTCAAATACAAGGATGGACTTGCAGCCAGTTTTTTGTTTCGAAGCTCACGAAGAATTCAAGTCTAGCTTGTTTGCCTCCATGCTTGTAATAAGGCAATGTGACTTACTTACATGAAATCTAAAGAGGGAAAACTTGTTAATTATAAATATCATGGCCTTTCTTTCTATTAATAATGCTGTTATGAGGAAATTAAGGACACTAGAGTTCTCAGAGTAAAATTTAACAATCTAAGTCGACTCGATATTTCATTTTAGTGTCTATATAAGGGAAGCTTGCATCTGCAATTTTTTTTTTATTGAGCCTTAGCTTTTCTGTGTGAACTTAGCAGCTCCTTAGAAATTCAAATCAGGAGCTGCTTGGCCAATCTAGTAAACTAAAGGTCAGTGTACCAACCTGTTCGTTAAGCATGTCAAACACCCAGCGGAAGACATCTTCTGGCAACAAGAGGTTGGTGGCACCGGTGTCAACTATTGCAGGATCGTCATTCAGCTGAAAGTACACCAACACATTACACCAACGCTTCACTGCATCTCGAGAGAAAGAGCTCATTGATGAGAAAATACACAGACCCCAGGTCTGAGGTGTGTTTTTCAGTTTTGGGGGATGGTGGTGAGCGCAAGCATGAAAAGGCCCCTAACACTTTTCAAGCCCTTGTTTTTCACTTGAGGATACGCAATGCAAACTAATACCCAGAGATACCTCTCACACTGAGAAGAAAGTCTCTGTGACAATATTTAGTATTTTAATCATGTGAAAAACTCACCCATTGCCCTCCACTGCATCAGCGCTTATAAGCACTGATGCGGTGGGCGGCAATGCAGTAACTTTTTTGCATCATGAAACATTGAATCTTGCTGTATTGGCATTTTCATGGTGGCACCCACCAAAAGCATTTCTGACAGACAGGACAGTACTATGCACTCACTGGTTCAGTCAAAAGTTGCGGGTAGTCACTTTACTGCTGGAAAGCCATGCTTGAGATCTGTTTTGTGGGGTATTTTCCACATTTATATTCATGCAAAAACCACATGTGATATCATTACAAGGCACATTATAGCGCTGGGCACCAGAAAATTTAACCGTCTGGTATTAATTAAGATGCACCGACACTGCAGAACATATGGGATCGAATTGTGACTGGTGCAGCCGGGATGAAACACGCGACATTAGAGCCAGTAGCCAGGTGTTGTAACTACTTCACCCCTGTGATAAACCTAAAGGGCCAGTAAGCAACTCTGCAATCCAAAATTTGTGATAAATCAATAAATAAGCACTTTATGAAATCAACATGCTGCTGCTAATTCAACATGCTGCTCCTATTCTATTTCTTATGTATATTAATGATATTCAGTTCAGTATTGACAGCATGGCCCAAATGCGGCTTGTTGCTGACGACTCTGCAGTATATACAATAGTACGTCATCCAAGGGGTCAAATCTGGCTACATAATCCACTGCAATATATCTGTTTTTAGTGCAATACATGGGGCATGAGGCAGAGCGAGTCAAAAACCAAGTTTATTACATTCACCAATAAAAATGATCCAATCAATTTCATTATACTGATGGTAACACCACTCTCGAAAATGCCATGAGGTAAAATACTTGGGTCTTATACTCACGTCTAATCTCCAATTGAAAACTTCACATCTCCTCCATCTGCCAGGCCGCCAAATGCAAACTGTCTTTCTTATGAAGGAACCCACTAACACCTCATCACATGTGAAATTAAATGCCTACGAAAATACTCAGACCCTCTTTAGAGTATGCTGATTTAATCTGGAGCCCTTACCAAAAACACATAACTGAGAAATTGAACGCATACAAAAATAGCTGCCAGATTCATATAGCGTGCGTACTCTAGACAATGCAATGTCTCTGACCTTGAACAACTTTCACATCGAAGAATAGTTTCCAAGCCTAAATTCATTTATCGTTTGTGCCACAATTATTTCAAAATTCCAAACTCAAGTTATTTACGTCATCCTTTCCTACACTTATCGAGAACATACCACATTAATAGAATCAAGTAACCTTGAAGCCCCGTTAATGCACACCAATATTCTCTCTTCTTCTCAGCAATTTCTCAGTGGAACAATTAACAATTTACATGCTAGTGTCATGAATTACACTACAGTAGAATGTTCTGTTACTGAAGTGCAAGTTATACATTTCTGTTTATGATTGTCATTTTTTTTCTTTCGAATGTTTATTTTTGTAACAACTCCTGCAAGGGCCAATTGAGCCTGCAGCATGTTCAATTAAAAAAAAAAAGTGGACAAAGCTGTGAACTCGAACATAATACGACCGAAGTTCCTCAAAGAAAATGTACGGCAGGTGGACACATCTGTAATCACAGGTAACTAGAAAGTGAGAGAGCTTGCGAAGAAACCAATTATCTTCAACAGATATTTCCTTAGGCTGAGCCTATATAAACTGCAGTGCCAACTCATGTCCCGGTTCTAAATTATAGGTTGCTTAGATCACAGAATTTGTGAAGCATTGGTAACTTGTCCATTGAACGAGATGACAAACCCTATGTTGGGCCAGACGGTAGCAATAGTGCAGTGAGTGCCTGTCTCACAGCCTTTTTATCCCCAGTTCACAGACTCTTGCCAACCCCAGATTTTTTTCCCCCAAATGCACACTCTACTACAGAGAAGCGAGCAGACTTGCGCCACATCCTGTGTGGCAACTCTCTAATGTAGAATGATGGAGAATGCAGTGTACAGCTCAGACTGAGCTGCGCAACTGCATGCAGCGGGCTGCACTCATTGAAGATAGCCGAAAGCCACAAGCTTTCCGCCACGTTACACCACATCAAACCTGCTCATCAACAGGCTGTCACTGTAGATTGAAAATAACATGTCTTCACCACCACCATTGCCCGCGTGCCACTCTGGTACTTGCGCTTCGGTCCTTTTGCACTACAGTGGAGTGTGGTCAACCCACAGTGACTAGCACAGTGTTCCTCTATTGCCGAGTTTCTGCTTGCTTAATTTATATGCACGAGAGACGTAAGCAACTTACCTCGCTGCAGAGGCCCGGCCACTCGCTTTCCCCGACTCTGATGTTGGACACGTAAACAGAAAAGTAGGTGGGCATATAGACAGGAGTAAAAAGTGTTCCGTTCGGAATCTTTGCATTGAAGCTCTGCAAGAAGGAGGGGACGCACAAAATAAATGAATGTCAAGAAAAAAAAAAGAACGTCAAGTGCACCCACGGGTGAATTAACCTGATATGTGCGTGAGAGAAATAAAACATTAAAATTGACTAGAACTGGTCTGAGCCCCCCAGACGCCGCTCACCTACCCTATCCGATTCAATTCCTCCAGTGACGGCAATAGATACAACTCTTACGCATTACACACTGCTTTACGATTTGTTTTTACTTCGTGCATGATAAATCAAATGTTTGTACCATGTATCAATATGAGGTATGCCCTTGAAATGCCAGGTCTGCACGTCACTGTATTACTACTTTCTGCTCCCTTTATTTACAACATCGAGGCTAAGTAATTCAGAGTTATACACACAATGTCGAGGCTAATCATGAAAACTGATACAATTAAACTCCTTTATAAAAGACATGCACTGGGCAAAACTCGTCTTTCATATAAGGTCTCTCTCATAAGCAGGGTGCAAGTACTATGCATTTCCTTATCAACCCCTATTTCGATGTGGACAAACTGCATCTCTCATACCCATTTGTCTGTTACATCGGTGCCTCTATAAAGAGGTTCAAATGCACACAAAATATAGCCACGATGTTTTTTATCATACTGCCTAAGAGATGGAACTAGATCCATGTATATTTTCCATTCCTTATCACCAGGTTGGAACACTCGTAACGCCCAAAGCATCACACAGTGGTGACTGCTGCTGATTTCCAACAAATATATAATACCATTCACTAGCACGGATTGAAGTGCAAGTTGATCGACTGACTGATTCCTTAATTTATCCATATCAAGCATTTTATAAACTAGAGGTGTGGGAAAAGCAGAACTTCAGCACCATTAAACACTTTACACATGAAGGCAAAGATGCTGATTCCCCAGCCTCTCTTCCACTTTCAACTTCTGTGGAAGCCTAACTGATTTTGGCAGACAAGGGTGTGCTCCCTTCGAGTCTGGAGTCCCAAATCTGCCTTGTAGACGTCAATGCATAAGAACACCAGCTATTTTAGATGCTGAAAATTCCCAGCGTTTGATTTTTCCGATTTTCTTCCAAACTTCAGGTGTGAACAGCATTAATCGAGCCCGCACCTCTGCCACATCTAACATCTTTATGTTGGAACCAGCGTTTTTTCGCTTCAACATATATGCTACTGTAGCAGCACCTAAAAGGCAGATTTGCTGGATTGTGAGAGTGTGATGGGGTGAAGCATATTGAAAATCTAAAGGGGCCACTGCTAATAGTATCAACGAAGCGAAAAAAACAGCGCGCAACACAGGACAGTGACAGAGATGGACGAAACGCTGATCTGTCACTGTCCTGTGTTACGCGTTGTTTTTTCACTTTGCTGATCATGTACCAACCAGCCCAAATAAGCACTTTAGGCCAATAGGATGTTGACTGCATTTCTTTTAGGAAAGTTCAAATAGATTAAATAGTAAAATTCTAATGTGAATCAAATCGAACAGCAAACACCGTTGGAAAATTGTTTGAAACTTCAAATATCAGCACACCCCTACTACCAACTTGATAAGAGATTACTGCAGAAAAGGCTAAGTATCAGCAATAGAACACAATACAACAAAATGAATATAAAAAAGCGAATGAATCAAGGGCTTATTTTTTTGTTCAAAGCAACTGAATGAATTCAAGAAAGACACAGGAGGCATTATTTGTGGGTCATAAGTTCAGTATAGTAATTATTGCATAAATGAAAATGGATTTAAGCATACAGCAAACAACTTGCTGATGGCGAGGGCCAAACCTAAAACTTAACGAGTTTCACATCCAATGCTTTACCAATCAAACTACAGAGCTGACTGCTTGCCCATCCACTTTGTTGTATTTGTGCCCACATTATCCCAGGTGTATTAGCGAGTGCCACTTGTAGCTGTGGCAATGTATGTAACAAATGATGTGTAACAAAACAGCTCATTGATCCGTAACATTAGTCAGACAGGACAGATCACATGAGTAGCAACCATTTGAGTTATGTACTTATTTTCGTAACACAAAAGACAAACCCATACAATAGCAATCCTTATACTAAGCAGTGGTGTTGACAACCAGCATGTGACACAGATAATCTAAATATTGCAGCTCCAGAAAATGAATGTGCATCGATTTTTTGAAGGGAGTGGTGAAAAGTGGGCAAAAAGAAAGACACCATAGAAAGCTCACCAATGCCCCAAAGTTTTGTGCCGAGCCCATTTCGTGCTTATCACAGTAGGAGAGCACAAAATGAGTGATGCCCTTTTCAGCGGTCAAGGCCTCCATAAACTCTGTTGCTGTAGTTGGAATAAAATAAAAAGAAAAACTTCACGTAAGAAAGACACCAGTAAAAAAAGTTGAGTAAAAAATAAGCTACCCATACTCAGATTATCTCATAGAATTGGTACAATGAAATAAAAAATGATTTAAATTATCATGAATGATATTTAATGAGATTTCTGGCATCTAAAAAGGGCATGATCAGTCATACAAACTGCTGACAGCATTTTTTTTACTAATGCCACGAAACCTTTTTTCAAGGAATTACAAAAAGGTAAGACAAAAATGGTAATAAATAAAGCATGAATTTACTAGTCCACAAACTCGGTATGCCAGAAACAAATATCATTTGTAAACCATATCTCTCAAAATGCATAAAGCAGACAATATGGTGCATTAGTTCTCAGGTATACTGCATTGTTATCTATGCAAATAACCAAACTCATCTGAATTTGACTTGATAGTCATATTAAACTCCTGGGCTGTTAAAGACAAAAAAAAAGAAAGGTAGCCCAGTTGACATTTCGCACGAACAGGTTGAAAAATGAATACTCGAGTAGCATCGACAGCTGATAAGCTTGGTCTCTCCATTTGTCGTGCAAATGGAAAAGCTACCACAAAAGCTTTTTACAGTGTAAAAAGTCTTATGGTGGATTCCAATGGGAGAACAGGAGCACTGAGAACCCCTCTTCAGAGTGGAAGCTCCCTTAACGCCTTAACAGCAGAAGTGGAGCCATCTTTTGCAACTGCCAAGATGTGGAAACCATGCTCTTTTCTTACAGTGCCCACTTAGAGATCAAGTGGTTTGATATGTTAGTGCAAATTGTACATTAGTTTTATATTAAGAGACAGTTGTTCCCGATGAGATAACACACAGAAACGAGTATAGGTGACTGAATTTCCCAAGTACTATGCCTCCAATCGGAGGCAAAGGAAAACTTACTAAGGAAAACTAGTAACACGAAGGCACACTTGGAGCACTATACTACCCGAAAAAGTTTCCACATTACACTCATTGGGCCTGCAAAGGAAACACTACGTTCTTAATTGCTGAACGGTGATACTTTATCATGCCGCTAGTAAGATGGCCCCCGCAGCCGCCATCTTGCCAGAGGCAGGGCTTCATTCCTAGGCAATGATTTCCACTCCAGCAATTTTTTTAATCCTCCTTAGGAGGGAGTAGGAGCGCTGTCATCCACTGGTAGAACGAGTGAACTTTCGCTGCATCGAAACACGATTGAAGTGCCTTCGCCCAAAAAGCAGAGTAGGCCGATAACGGAAAAAATTGCATAACTTTTAAACATCAAATTCTACTTATTCGTCTCAATTTCTCTTCAGCCAGCGAGCATGGAGGCAACAGTACCAACCATGTGTAGTTTGACACGACTCATGTTGGCCGCATTGGATCCATTTGTACGAATAGCGATGATGACCGCTGCGAAGTGTGTAGAGCTATGTTTAGTGAGTGCATTGTCATAGGCGTGTGCAAAAGGGGTCGGGGAAGGGGGCAACCAGGCCCCATAGTCACCTAAGAGAAGGGAGGTGCAAAGTCTGCCCAGAACATAAAAGTGGTGAAAAAGTAGTGAAATATTTGACTGCGATAAGGCGTACAGAACATATCGTTATGACCGTGACGTCCGTATCGGTGGGGGCGTACTCGTTGCTGTCAATGAAGCGTTTAATTCCTCTGTGGTTCCGATCAGGTCATCCTTAGAAATAGTATGTGTGCGAATCATTTTTTCCTGTCGTGACTATATTTTGTGTGCATGTTATCGATCCCCAGCTCCTTCCCCTTTCTTTTGTTCTGAACTTCATGATGTTCGGAATCTGCTGAGTGTACGCTATCCCGATTCTCCCTTGATCCTTATGGTGATTTCAATTTTCCCGGTATTGTATGGCGTGCAGACTCCGTTAGCATAAAACAAAACTTACCAGAAAATATAGAATTTTTGAATTTTTGTACGGACTTTAACCTCACTCAGCTTGTTCTTGAGCCCACGCGTCAACATCAACCCGTTTCTAACCTCTAGACCTCGTACTTACAACTTCACCTGATCTCGTTTCTTCGATAACTTATCTCGATGGACTAAGTGATCACATGTTACTACATTTCACCGCGCAAGCTCACCGCCCTCGAGATCTAAGGTTTTCAAAATTATTAGGGATTATTGCGTGTCCAACACGGCACTAAATTACAGCAGAAATGGAACGTTTTACCGAGGAATACATACTAACTATGAAGAGCGATCTGTCAATGATAACTGGTTGCTTTCAAAAACAAATTATTATCTTTGCTCAACGAACATGTACCCACCAGAAGGAATTTGCACTAAACCCCGCTCTCATTGGTTTAGTTCCACTTTACGCCGACTCCGCAACAAAAAGAAGCGTCTGTTCCGAAGCACTAAACGTTCTAACCTCCCCAGCCGTTGGTCTGAGTACTATAGCATAAACAAGGAATATAACGACGCTGTTAGCAACACAAAAACAACATTTTTAAATTCCACACTGCCTGCTCTTCTTCAGACTATCCCCGCAAATTTGGGAGCATAATGAGAGGTGAATCTCGATCTAATATTCAATTAACATGTTCTGACCTGGTTGTACCACCTGACCAATGCTGCACGGTTCTAAATAATGCTTTTTCTTCAGTGTTTCAAACACAGCCCTTCATTATATCCCCATGTACCCATGCCGATTTTCCGCCCATGGTAACCTATTTTTGTTGGCTGGGTGGGCTTAACTAGCTAATTCAGGGTTTAAAAATGTCTTCTTCTGCAGGCCCCGATAAAATTTGCTCTAAAATGTTGAAATTAACAGAAGTGTATTCATTCCATTGTCCTTGCAAAACTTTTTCATCAGTCATACAGTGTTCATCGCTACCCGCTGATTGGAATTCCGGAAAGGTGGTTCCCGTCTATAAGTCAGGTAACTCGCGTCTTCCAGAAAACTATCGACCAATATCTCTCACAAGCATTTCCTGTAAGCTACTCGAACATATTATTTTCTCTAATTTAATGGACTTCCTTGAAACAAATTCCTGTTTTCATTCTTCCCAACATGGCTTCAGGAGAACTTTTCATGCGAAACCCAACTAGTATCTTTCACTAACGATCTCTTTGCCAATTCTGACGAAGGTTACGACACTCATTGCATTTTTCTTGATTTTCATAAGGCATTTGATACTGCTTCCTCAGAACTTCTCCTTGTTAAATAAATAAATTGAACCTTGACCCTAATGTGCTTGGCTGGATTAAGTCCTTTCTCTCTAACAGGTCGCAATATGTCATTGCTAACAACTGTTCTTCCGATATTTCTGCCGTAACATCAGGGGTGCCGCAGGGCTCTGTGTTAGGTCCATTGTTATTTTTGATTTATATAAACGACCTTCCTAACTTGTGTTAAGTTTTCAACCATTAAATTATTTGCTGATGATTGTGTGCTGTATTCCAAAATCACTAACCCAACTGATTCTATCAGACTTCAGAACGACCTAGATAACGTGTCTCTTTGGTGTCGTGACTGGCGGATGAAACTTAATTCAACCAAATGTAAAAGCATGCGTGTATCTCGAAAAAATTCAGGTTCTAACACTTGCATGTATCTTCTTAATGATGCTCCCTTATCCTCAGTGCACTCGTATAAATATCTTGGGCTTAACATTACTAACAATCTATCCTGGCAGAAACACGTCGAATACGTCACTAATAATGCTAACCGCATGCTCCGAGATTTGCGACAAACTTTTCTTCCTTACCCATGTCAGTAAAACTAACCTTTACAAAACGTTGGTACGCTCTAAACTAGAATACGCATGCGCCATCTGGGATCCCGGTCAAGTAACCCTAGCTCTCACTCTAGAAGCCGTTCAAAACCGCGCAGCCCGTTTCATTTTGTGCAATTATTCCCGTCAATGCCAGCATCACAGCCAGAAAAAAACTCTGAACTAACCAACTTATCGTTCCGGTCGAAATGCTCTCGCCTCTCTCTTTTTCATAAAATTTATCATTACAATCCATCTTTAAAAGAGAGCCTTCTCTCTTCCCCCTCTTACATTTCACCTCGTTTCGATCATTGCTTTAAAGTAGATGTGCCATTTTGCCGAACAAACCACTACAGTGATTCCTTCATTCCCAGAACAAGCAAGACTGGAACTGCCTTTCCGCCGCCACCGCATCCCTCATCGACCCTGCAAACTTCAAACTCTCCATTTTGCGCAATGTAACATTTCGCTTACTTTTGTTGTATAACCCCCACTCCTTTCTGTAAAGCCTTCGGGCATGGAAAGTATTCAAATAAATAAATAAATAAATAAACATTTACTTAATGGGAAGGGGGGGGGGCACTGCAAGGAACCTCCACCCCCACAAAGAAAAGAAACTCTGCACATGCCTATGTGCGTTGTTACACTAACACGGTACAAAACTGTACACACGTGACCGACAGATTTCACGCATGTTTTGCAGCTGTCACGCAGACAATGCTGAGACTTCGAATATTTTGATCACATGGTGCATTTCTACTCGCTCATCACTTGCATCACCTGCACTCCGTAAGCGAGTCACATTCCAGTGGCAGATTGAATGGCCCTGCTGTCAATGCTCTGCGCCACCCTCCTCACTGTATGACCCCTATACTTCTGTTTTCTCAACAAAATTCATGAATGAAAAGCCACCAGGCCACTAAAACTCGTCATGGAACTTAAGAGTTATTGATAAACAAGAACTGCCACAGCACATCACTCATGAGGCATAATGGTGCATAACTTTCAATGCAAAAAAATCAATGTAGAATGTTGTACATTATAAACTACAAAACAAAAGAAGGTAACGTTTTCTAATGTTCTCCACAAATATTGTGTCGACCAGGCCAGTAGCCAGGGTCCCAGCCCCTGAATTTCGAATGGTGAGGGGTATGCTACGAAGAATATTTTGTAGAACCTCGTTAATTCTTTTAATCAAGTGGGTTATCGAATTAACAGAACACGCAAAATGTGGAATGTGAGGAACTTGAAATT